ACTGAAAAAATGGCTATTTGTTTGTGTATATATTTATTTATGGCCATACTTGACTTTCTGATAAAACTTTTCCATATGTTATGATTAGCACTATATGTTTTATGCATTAATAGTCATAGAACCTCGAATTGGCAAAAAGATTGACTTGATGACACGTCAAGATAGAGGTTATAATGAAGCAACACTGGATAAAAATTATGGTAAGAGGCAAAAGAGATACTGAATGTACTTACAATTCCAAATACAGGTCAGTTGACTATTGCAGACCTTGCTTATATAGATAACCTACTGCATATGACACGACATGATTTTACTACAGCTAATGTTTACAAACTTGGCCTTCAATTGGGTCTATCAGCTGATACACTGGATTTTATTCACAGAAAGTGGAATAAAGATGCTACTCATTGTCTGCGGGAATGTCTCAAGGAATGGTTGAAGCAAGCTGATGATGTGAGAAGTAAAGGTGGAGCTACTATTCCTGCACTAATTAAAGCACTGAGAAAAATTGGGGAGACTGCTATAGCTGATGGTATATGTAATGAGTGTAAGTGACAATCATTGTGATAGATACTCTATATTACTATTCTGCAGGTCATCCTGCTTGTTGTATCTTTAAGCGACATATATCTGATCAGTCAATGTCAGATACAATACTACAGCTTGCTCTAAATCATGTAGAGAGAGAGCTAGGTATTATGGATCCTCTAACTGGAGGTGCAAAAGTGCAGTTATCATTAATTCAGGATTTTGTGTGTACTCATTATCAAAACCTTGATAAGTTTGCTACTGTTTTACAACAGTTTCCTTCTACTGAAGCAATTGGAGCTATTATTAGGAAAAAGTACAGTAAGCAACAATCAGTAATTCATTACAAAAATATACTTTTATAGCAGAAATAATTCCTCATGGATCTATAGACAGCGAAAGTAAATATTTTTGTATTGTGTTTACATATAATTTAGGTCTAAAAGTTTCTGATCTAGATACATTGAGGCACACATATGATCAGGCTGTCACTACTGCCTGTGATGCTATGAATGAAATTCCTTCAGATGACCTCAAAGAGTTTCTTTATCGTGACTATCCTTATTTCATTCATCAATTGGAACATATTGATACAACTTATGACATTCTAGCTTTAGTCTGCATGAGGTGTTCAATTATAAATGTCAGCCTACTGGAAGATGTTGCCGGTTATTTCAAAGTCAAAAAAGCCATTACCATCATTAAAGAATACAAAAAACATATGAATAAGTTTAAGTCGCTTCGAATGTTTTTAAATGTGGAACTGTATTCTGACAAACTATTTCAATGTGGAAAAATCTCACTTGCTGTTGCTAGAGATGTTGACAACTACACTTTAGATGATGCACAGGTCCTGCTAAATACAGTATTCAAGGAATTAGCCCCTTATGTCATGATTGAAGAATTTGAATATATCAGAGATCATGCTTCCTTTACTATCATTTGTTCCATTCCTCTGCAATTTCTTGCATCACTTAATAAAAAAGTATGCCATTATCTGATATGCTGACTTGTATGTAGTTTTGCTTTAGGTAAATGTTGAAGGTAAAGAATTTTAAAATGTAAATTATGTAGAATCTGATTTATTTCACAGAAACTCCAGAAAAAAAATTTAAACAGATATCACAAAATGTATATACGTTTCGTTAACTAAGAGCAAGAATTGAAGATGGTGCATTGACATTCATTTTTTGTTTTAGTATGGTACAATAATTTTAGTTTTAGTTTTAGTTATGCAATGGCATAGATTCAGGTCCGTATCTATGGCAATGGTAATCATTTTAGTTTTAGTTATTGTTATCACTTCAAAATTGTATTTTAGTCTTAGTTTTAGTTTTATTCTTCAAGTGCTTCTAGTTTTAGTTTTAGTTTAATTCATGAAAATTTTTCCAATAATGTAAAAACAATTAATTAAGAACTAGTAAATGGACCAAATGACCTGACCAACATTACAATGGAGGTGTTAGTGATCAGACCTCTTCAATAATTTAAGTAGTTACAAGTGTGCTATTATAGTTTTAGTTTTAGTTAATGTATCTCACAATTAAAGTTTTAGTTTTAGTTATAGTTAATTAGTACTAGTTTTAGTTTTAATTATAAGCACTGAGGAATTTGAATTTTAGTTTTAGTTTTAGTTAAAGAAAACAGCTTACTAAAATTAAAATAGGTTTAGTTTTAGTTATTGTTAACTAAAACAACACTAATTCATTCATACATGTACATGTACACATAATTACAATTTACTCTTATTATCATTACTTTGTCTTGTTACTGTACATTTGTTATAGTGTGATGATCATTATGTATATGTAGATAATAATAATCATTATTATTAAAAAAATTGCTGCAGTGTTGTTGATTACAGTCAAACCTCCGAAGAGCAGACACTTTGGGAAGTCAGCTATTGTCCTTTATTCAGAGGTTGTCCTCTTCTCAGAGGTTGTGTTGTGACCTCCCCCTGTTTCAGAGATCAGGTTTAGGTCAAGCATTAAGCTATAGCTACTGTATAATCTATAAATACTAGGCCTAGCATCATTATTATACTATAATAACTGCTTTAAGTGTTCTTATTAATTTAATGATTACTATTAACTTTAATATTGAGGGTGTGGCTTTCTATATTTCCGGAAATGTCCGTTTACAGAGGTAAAATCACATGTTTAGAAGCTTCTTTGTGCTTGTAAAACTGTCCGCTGTCCGGAGTTTAGAGGTGGTCGCTTCTGGGAGGTTGCTAATGTACAGTAAGATGGGCTATTTTCATCGGTGACTGCAGGTTTGTCCGCTCTAGAGAGTGTGTCCGCTTCTCGGACTGTCCGCTATCGGAGGTTTGACTGTATTGACATTCATTTATACCTTTTTTGGACTAGAAATTAGCACCTCTTGATCGTTTTGGTAGACATTTTCTCTGTCCAATTATCAAGAGACTAAACGTACAATAGTCATAGAATACCAGTGCATTTATAATGTAAGTGTGCATTAATAAGGGAGGAAAGAATTTAAAACATAATAATAATAATAACTAGTGTTACACACAGACAAGGGCGTAGCTAGCATAAGGCTAGGGTAGGCTATAGCCTACCCTGAAGTTCAGAAGTCAGAATTGAAGTTTAGTAGTTTACCTATATTGAGTTTCTGCCTTAGTCACTTATGATCAAAGATTATAGAAGTTTAGGGTAGCTGTCTCAACTGGCAGTTACTCACTCAGT